TATATGTTGTGTATAAATATAAACTAACATTAAATTCAAGATTCTGTTAATTGTGATGATAAGATAATATATTATATACCTGCTTTGTAATATCTTACTTGTTCTGTCAGTTGTTCCTCTGTAAACTGTAAAATCTGCATCAGGCTGGTGGCCCATACAGCCAACATGCCTATTCAATGATTCTGTAGCATGAAGCTCTACTCCCCCCTGGATGGGAGGCTAGTCCATCACAGGGTTCCCCCTGGCATTACATTTGCTGATACTGATTTGTACACTGGGGTGGAGAGAGGCACTGAGAGTAAAGTGTCTTGCCCAAGAGTACAACACAATGTCCCAGGCCAGGAGATACCGAGATCGCTTGATAGAGAGTTTAGTACACTAACCCTGAGGCCACGACACCTGCACTGTATAGTTAACATAATTTTCAAGATTGCAGACCTAACAGTTTCTTGTCTTTCACCTTTTGTGATGTGGTAATTTCTTTTGTGCTTCTCTAGGATGCATACTTGAACAAGACTCTTCCAAAGCTGTCATTTCTTTGGCAATCAATATTAATTATAATGTTAAATGTTAATTTATTCCTTATTATTACAAAATTGTACATACATGTGCAAGCAAAAACTTAAAGGTTCAGTTTGTATGACTAGGAAAAATGTTTTGTTCTTTAAATGCTTGCATTTTCTGAAGTGAATTTCTAGCCAGACTTATGTAGTGTGATTGTTTTAGTTATGGTAAACAAGGGTGCAAATTTCAGCAAACATGTAAATTGTTAAATATATATTTGCCTTTGTTAGGGCTAAAAATTGTATACTAAGTAATCTTCACGATATTCAAGATTTCAATGACATAGAGATCGTGCCTATCAACTTTCTATGCATTATTTTATTAATTTTCTTTTATATTTAATAGAGAGAAATCTGCAAGTGTTATTTTTCTAAACTGAAGTTATGGGTTTTGGTAAAATATTTATTTTTGCCTTTAGAAGGCAAGGTCATCCCCGCGAGATCTTAATGAATGGATAAACTGTATTTGCTACTGTTGTATGTAGAGTTTACAAAATTAAAATTAAAATTGAGAATGAAGTCTTGAGTGTGACTCTCCTGTTAGAATAGAACATGGTTGTATTATATGCTTGTTTGTTGGAGTTACAAACAATAAATTCTTCGTAGTTTATTATTTTTTTATTACAAACTGTTTCAAAATGATCAACTTCTGCTAAACTAGTATNTAAATTGTTAAATATATATTTGCCTTTGTTAGGGCTAAAAATTGTATACTAAGTAATCTTCACGATATTCAAGATTTCAATGACATAGAGACCGTGCCTATCAACTTTCTATGCATCATTTTATTAATTTTCTTTTATATTCAATAGAGAGAAATCTGCAAGTGTTATTTTTATAAACTGAAGTTATGGATTTTGGTAAAATATTTATTTTTGCCTTTAGAAGGCAAGGTCATCCCCACGAGATCTTAATGAATGGATAAACTGTATTTGCTACTGTTGTATGTTGAGTTTACAAAATGAAAATTAAAATTGAGAATGAAGTCTTGAGTGTGACTCTCCTGTTAGAATAGAACATGGTTGTATTACATGCTTGTTTGTTGGAGTTACAAACAATAAATTCTTCGTAGCTTTTTTTTTTTTATTACAAACTGTTTCAAAATGATCAACTTCTGGTAAACTAGTATCACGGACAGTGATTTCCCATAAAATCCCATCACAGGAAATAATGAATTATATTAAACATGAAAATGAAAAAGATTAAGTTCAGTGTTATTTAAAGCCATTGCCAGTGAGTATTTTTTTGCTCTTTCATGAATCAAATGAAAGATTTGTTGTAAATGAAAATAATTTCTCATTCAATTCTTTTAATATGTGGTTTCTGAAAGACTATCCCATCTTCTCAGCATCACAATCTATCTCCACTTAACTAGTT